AATAATTTTATACTTTTACAAAATATATCATGAAATTATGTACTAACAATTTAAATTATGTTTTTCTGGATTATCAATAATTATTGGAGATTAAACTAGTTTTATTTATCAGAGATGAGACTATTAATTTAGCTGAAATTATGAGTGCTCGTGAATTGGTTCAATTCGGTCGTAAGCTATTTGGCCAATCAAATTGACATGGTTTTGTTGGGGAGTTGGCTAGCTAAAACCGATTGACCTTTTGTGAAATCCAACCCACTCAAATTGTATCAATTTGGGTTGATTTTTTGGTTTGGTCAGTTAGTTCAAAAGATTTAAACTAAAAATTTAAATTTAATTTTAAAAACTACAGTGCATGTATTAAAAAATAAATTTATAAATTAGATTTTATGTCAGTTAGATTTAAAAATTAGATATATATCCATGGTTAAGTTGTTTGATTTTAGTCGGTTTACAAATAGCCAAAGTGAAACTGATCCAACTTGGTCGAATTGGGAAATTTTTGAACCAAAGTCGACCTAAAATACTAGAAAAACGAGCAACTCAAGTCGAGTTGATCGGGTTGGTCGATTTTCATCAGTTTGAAGAATAAACCTAACTGAGATTAATTAGTTATTTTTGTATTATAAAAAAGTTATTAAAAGTAGTATATAAAATATGAATAATTATTAATTATTCAAAAAGTTGAAAATATAAAATAATTGTATACTCTTATGTGTTTCTATTAGGGTCATTTACTAGAACACACATTTAGTGATGGCAATTTTCCCCATCCCCGATGGAGACCCGACTTCCCCGACCCAATGGGGCTGGGGATGGGGATTGCTTTGGCGGGGTGGGGGCGGGGCGGGGACGGGGACGGGGATTAATAGGAATCCCTATTCGGGGTCGGGGACAGGGAATTTGATCCCCGTCCCGTTGCCATTCCTACACACCTTATAGTTTTACATATTTACTTAAATCTACCTCATAGTTTTCATTTTACTAAAACATCCCATATATTTTACAATTTATTTACTTAATCAACCTTTTATTAAGGAGTGTTTATTTTGCCATTAGACCCATGATTTTTTTCCAAAAATACTCTTAGCACTTTTTTGTATATAAAATAAAACTGACCAAATATAGCCAATAGAGTGGTTGTCCGTGTCTTATTAAGGGAAAATATGGTATTTTTATTTTTATTTTCTTTTGATTAAATTTATTTAATTGAACATTAGGGTCAACACTGTTATTTTTCACTGTCATCTAATGGAAGATTGATTAAATCCATTGCAAATTATAAGTGGTGTTTTAGTAAAATGCTAACTATAGGGTAGATTTTAGTAAATCCATGAAACTATAAGGGGTATTTTAGTAAATGACCATTTCTATTATTTAACTTTTGCTTAATAAATTCTGTGCATTGCATGGTTTCCCACTAATATATATATATATATATCAAGGTTCAAAGTATTGACATGTATTGGCCTGTACCGGTCAATATCGAGAGCACCCTGATACGCCCTTATAGAGGGTGTATTGGGGTTTTGACCAATTCAGGGGGTAGATCCTTAAGTCGGCCCCCCTGAACCGGTTTTGAAAAAAAATAAAAAAAAGGACCAATACTGCCCAATACCCCAAAGCGCTATGGGGTTGTTTGCCCAAGAATGTCACTTGGGTTATTATTATTGCATGGATATTGGTTCATCTTCCTTGATTGATATATGCTTTGGGGATTTGAAGCCAGGAGTAAAACCCTTTTGGGGGATTTTTTTTCAGTTATTGTAGACGTAGATAATTTTGTATAAGCTCCCTATAATGTCTGGCATCCAGGACGCTTGAGAAGCCAAATCAAGTTTATACTATGATTCATTAATATTTACTCATTCCTTAAATTTGGTAATACAAAAAAAGTGCACAACGACTTGGAAATAACATGCATGCTTGCATGCTTGTATATGGATGTAAAGAATAGGTACCCATGCCCACGTGAGACTAGAGCCCATAAGAATAACTTTTGTCTTTTGGAGGCCATAGTCTTGTATTTTTTGTGTTAGTCTGATACCCTCTTTTTTTATGTGTTTTTTTTTCATAGATTCTTCTTTTATTAGTTAAGGTTCTAAATATCGATACGCCGGTAGGGGTGTATCAGTATTTTTTTTTTTAAATCCAACCGGTTTAAGGTTCCTTCACCCCCTGAACTGGTCAAAACCCCGATATACCCTCTGTAAGGGTGTATCGTGGTGCTCTTGATACGATGTGTATCGGCTGATGCGGGTCGATACGAGTCGATTTTTTGAACCTTTGTTATTAGTATAATTTTTTGTTGATCTTTATCCAAAGTACATGGGAAAGGATCTAAAATTGAGAATTAAGATCAAGGATATCTAATTGAATATTTGGGATAAAATAGGGGTTTAGAACCTTTTCAAATGTAATTGTCAAGGTTCAAAGTATTGACATGTATCGGCCTGTATCAGCCGATACGTATCGTATCGGGAGCACCCCGATACACCCCTAAAGAGGGTGTATCGGGGTTCTGACCGGTTCAGGGGGTGGAGGATCCTTAAACTGCCCCCCTGAACCGGTTTATAAAAAATAAAAAAAAAGGACCAATACTGCCCAATACAAATATGTACAATGCAAATGCATACAAAATAATACAAAATACAAAGTTTTGTACTCTACATATTTGCATTTTTATCCCTTCCAAACTGAGCCTAAAGTTGATTTGGTTAAGAATTCTCTGATCATTATAGAGGTGCCATGATCCATTGTTCTTCTTGACAAGTAACATTGATAAATATGGGCTTGTGCTGGGCGTAATTGATCTTGAACATAACATGTTGGTGACCTTCTTCTCCCTCTTTGATCTCTGATAATATGGGTATCAGTAAGGCCCAACATTCAAGTCCACCGCCCGGTATGAGATTGATTTGGTGATCTTGTAGTTTGGTAGGGGATAACTCTTCTTGCTCCTTGAAGATGTTTGAAAACTCTTGTAATAGTTGGTGTAATGCTAGGTCACTCGTCACAGGTGATTGTAATTCCTTGTCATCTTAGATAGAGGTGGTGAGTGAATAAAGTTGCAACAAGACCCCCTGCTCATGTTTCATGGATGCCTTGGTGAATTTTCTGTTCCTACAACCTTATCCTCCACCTTGAGACCCCTCCATATCATATCTCGTCCATGCAATTGAAGCTTCATTTGAAGCTTAGTGAAATCTCAAGTGATGGATCCTACATTCACAACCATTGAGTCCTTCGTACCACGTTTGTGCCTTCGAGGGGTAACAAAGTAAAAATATCCATGATGAGATTCCTTGAAGCTTCATCATGACCCCTGAATAGAGTCCCTAGCTCATCAACCTTTAACCATGAGCTATAATCACCTCGATCCTTCCATCGGGAGTTACCTCAATGCCAGCCTTGGTCGCAATCAATCTTTTCACTCAGGAAGTTAAGAGTATTGCCCAAGTTTATCAACATTGTTACCGGCATTTGAGTTCCAGTCATGGCGTGGAGTGTGATTGTTGAGACCTCCATATCTTTTTCATTACCCCTTTATCGTCCCTTTCTTAAAGCTCAGTGGGTGTCATCCTCTTGATGGTAGGTAGCCTTGGCTTGGTTATGAAGACTAGGCCCACTATTGAAGAGATGGGCCTCATAAAGACAAGCTTAGCCCATTATCGGAGAGAGAGCGAGAGAGCGATAGAGAGAGAGAGAGAGAGAGATGGGTCTCTAAGCCTATATTTCGATAGAGTCCTTGAGGCTACTGATGAAACAACTAGCTTGTTGAACATAAGTAAGTTTTTCTATCTTGCTAAGTAGTAAGTAGTCATTTAAATTGGGATTAATAAACCCGCATAATCTCGATTTGTCTTAATTTGGTGAGGTGGTTCCCAAAGAAACAATCATAGTGATGCAGATCAAAGTTGGCAAGGTCCTCAGAGTAGTTCAGAGTTCACCTGCAAAGAGGGAAGATGAGGTTAGAGGGCCCGAGGTGATATCCCGGGTTTGTACCGATGGTCAAGTTAGTTGCTGAGCTGTTCGAAGGGGGTAGGTGAGAATTCAGTGAATCAAAAAGTGTGAATTGAATGCTAATCTAACCTTTATATAGGCTTCAGATGCATGCTAGGAGAATACATGTTGAGTAGGCACAAGACAACTGTTCGAGACACTTGATATTTGGCCTTGAACTCCTGGAGCTCGGTCAGGTCACACGGAACTCGGTCAGGACACCTAGGGCTCGGTCAGGACCACTTGGCAGGCAATTAAGCCACCTAGTGCTCGGGTGTAATCATGCTCGGTTGACCTGTTGGCCACATCACAAATGCATGGTGTGGGCCTAGGGCCCACTAGCTGATGGGGTTGTCTTACGTGTTGACAGTTCTGTTGCATGGGTTTCTGCCAAGTAGCCACCTTCCGGATACATGGTGGAGTTCGGTACTCGTCTTCTATGGCATCTCATCTCGCCAAGAACTGCCTCCTCAGGCTACATGTCAGTAGTCCTTTGAGGTCGTCGTCTGGTCAAGACTTCGCAGGAGCTCGTTCCTCAAGCTACGCATGACATGACGAGGTGGGTTTATGATCCCGAGGTGATTCCTGTCATCCTGAGATCGTGATAGGTCGTCGAGGTTTGGTCTGCATGCCAGGTTGTGGCTTTTTTTGTGACTGCCATGTGTTTAGTTATTTAGAGGTTGGTTTTACTCTCATCCCTTGCCCTCCACTTTTGAGGTCGAGGTGGTTCGGCTCAAGTAAAGGAAGTCTTCATTTTGGAAATATTCTTTGTTGGGTGTTTGGTTGCCTGTCTTTGTTTGATCCCTTTTGATCCGTTTGGGAACACCACTTGGGAGGACTCTAACAGGTGCGTTGCTCGCACGCATGGGCCAGAGGTTGTTTATTAACCTAATTCAAACTTTAAAAGTGTGCTTAACTAATTTGGTTCCTTGAGGAGTTTAATCATCGTGAATCTTGGCCGCTGGTTTGGTTTGATTGTAGATATTTGTTGTTTGCTTCCTTTGCCTATAAATATGGATCCCATGGGGGGTCCATTTTGCACATTTGTCTTTGAAGTGGTACCCTACTTGAGGTTGGAGAGATTGTTCCCAAATGTCTGTCTGCTAGTTTCTTCTCATTTCGTCTTTCTTCTTCAGTTTGTCCTGCGTGAGTCTTCTCTTTATGAGTTCCTTTTTTTTTTCCTTTATTCTGTTAGTTCTATGTTGAACTCCATAGACAACGAGTTTGCAGAGATTGAGTTGGTAGAGAGGGAGGTTGTGAAATCAGCCTCCTAAGCTCGTAGAGAGTTGGGGGAGTTCACCTGGTCTCTAACAAGATCGAAATTAGCCCCAATGAACCCTTCACCCCTAGCCAATGTACCTTAGTCGACCTGTAGAGGATTCATCTTCTTTATGGGGGTCCCGACGAGTTCCGTTTTAGGCTTTCCATTCCCAGCGAGGCCCCCTAGCACCATAGTCATAACGAGGTTTGTGTGTTCGAGCAACACTTCATTGTGAGGTTGAGGTTTCCCCTTCCTCGTCTAGTTATCAACCTTCTTAATTGCTTCTTAATCACTTTAGGGCAGCTTTCCCCTTACACCATTAGACTTATAATCGGTGTTGCATCGGTGAGGCATGCACACAAAGTTTCCATTAATATAAGGGCTTTCTTGGTTCTCTGTGGTCTTAACCACACCCCTGATGACAAAAAATTCTGTTATTTTACCTTCGAGACCAATAAGAAGTTCCTCGAAGGCCTCCCAAACAAGGTCTCAAACTGAAAGTCAAACTACTTCTTCATCGTCCAAGATAGTTTCTAGAGGTTCATTAATCACCGGGGCTTGGCTATTGGTGACCCTAACGGTCAATACGTGACCTTGGAGGAATCGAGCCAATTGTAGGAGGTTGCTCGTCTCGAGCTGAAGATTGATGATTTCCTGATTGAGGACACACTCCTACGAGTTGGCTTGAGCCCAAAGTGTCAAGGTAGTTTATCTTCGGTTTGATTAGAGTTCTATCCTTGACATGTATTTTTGCTTTCTCTGAGCTGAATACTAACTATACTGTCTCATATGGTGCTTTTTCTTTTTCCAAGAGAGCTATGGACTTGACGCTAGGAAGATTTTACACTAGCAGGAAGCCAAGGCTGAAGAAGAGGAAGACCATAGAAGCCGAGCCTTCTCATGATGTCGAGGTGTGAGTTACCTCATCTGCCCTTGAGGTCATTTCCATTAATGATGAGGTTCTTTAGGCCAAGGTAACTGAATAACCCTTCGGGATGGAAGCGCAGTCGGGGCTAAGGACACTCCAATGCCTCCACCTCCAGTGACTTTTCGGACACTGATCTCCTCTGTTCCCTCAACTACTACACAAATGGGACCTTTCGTTCAGCCCTTTGAACGGGCGTTGATTTGGACTGCTATGTAGTTGGTTTGCCAAAATGATAATGTGCAGAATCGTGCCATTGCTTGCGAGCTGAGCAGGGGGTCAGTGCTGCCTTCTTCTTGGGCGGAGATTAAAAGTTTGCCCTTTGATGTTATGGAGACTCGCCTCTTCAAATATATTATGAAGGTAAGGTGACAACTTCCTACCCTTTTGCTTCTTCGTGCTGCTTTACGGTGTCCCTTATCTTTCCTCGATGTTCTAGGCCAATGCTATGGGCCAAGGGGTGTGCGAACGAGCTCAGAGGCTGTAGGACCGAGTTGATAACTTAGCTCAGATAGAAGAAGGTTATCTTGTTGAGCTAACAAGGCGTTGAAAGAGAAGGATCAGGTGGTGTCCATCTTTGAAGCTCTCAAGGCTGAGCATGAAACGATCGTCGCCAATCATTGGACAACTATTACCAAGTTATCCCAAAAGCTTAAGGCGTTTGAGTTTGAACGCTGTGTGTTGTTAGACGAACTCAAGGACCGAGAGGAGAGGGAGAATGCGATAAAGGCTGGATTGTTGAAGGCTTAGGAGGAGCTAAAAGCCCGGTTGGAAAAGCTAAGGAAGAAAGAGAGGAATTGCTTGTAGCAACTCAGGAGAAAATGGTTGCTGACTTCAAGCTCTCCAGGGAGTATAGTTGGAGAAGGTCGAGTTTGCGAAGCCCTATGTGATGAAGGGTTTCAGGCTATGCAAGCTCCTTTCCACCAGGATCCTGGACAACCCCATTGGCTAGTTCAAGATTTTGGAGGCTCTAGATGAGTTCTTCTTGGTGCCTGACATGGACAGTGATGCTGAGGAGGAAACCACGACCACTAAATCTGACTTGACGACTCCTACAAGTGATTAGGCTTTCAGCAATCTGCCTCCTCTAGTGACCAGTTGATATTTTCTCTTTTTGGTGTACTCCCCAAGCTATTGTGCTTGGTTTTTATGATGTGGACCTTTTGTTACTTGCTTCTTTTGTCTTTTTGAACTTCTATGTACCAACCTTCTTTGATCAATAATAGAAATGCTCTCCTTTTTTATTTATGTGGTTATTAATTGAGTTTCTTGACTTAAGTCACTTGCTCACGTTATTCCGCCACGGTTGAGTTACAAACCCTTACTGTTAGCCCTCCTTTTCTGAGCTAATCCGATCATTGGCTCAAGTCATCCCTCTAGGGATTGAGTTTGCTTCTCGATGCCTTTGTCTTTTAAGAATCCTTTTGACATGGCATCAAGTTATGTGTGCAAAGTTCTCACCTCGGTTTGTTCCAAGTTGAGTTACAATGAGTAATGGATTATGGAACTTAAGGAACTTAGAATTTTATTTTAATTTCAAGCAATCTGAAACATAATACACCCTTAAGTTCATGGAAATCTAGGCACGAAGTACATCCCCTCCTCCCAAAGTTTGCAACATGTAAGTCGTCGGTCCTAATACTTAGACGACCTTGTATGGCCCATCCCAGTTTGAACTGAGCTTCCCTACTCTCGGCTCTAGTATGATCACTCTTCTTAAGGACGAGGTTGCTGACTTAGAAACTCCTCTTACGGACTGGAACATTGTAGTACTGGGTTACTTGTTGTTGGTAAGATGCAGTTCGTACATGGGCCTGATCTCTCACTTCTTTAATTGGGTACAAATAGTTCCAGAGCTCGTCCTCATTAAGGTCCTCCTTGTGAGCTTCGGTCTACAATGTTGGTACTTCAATCTTGGCCGGGATCACAACTTCTATTCCATATGTCAAGTTGAAGGGTGTCTCCTCGGTGGCTATCCTACTTATGGTTCTGTGTGCCCATAGCACACTGGTGAGTTCTTCCACCCAACATCCCTTAGCTCTGTCTAGCCATGTCTTTAGTCCTTGGAGAAAAGTGTGGTTGGTCACTTTGGCATTGGTTTGAGGATGATTAACCGTGGTGAACCACTGACAGATGCCCATATATTTACACCAATTCGAGAATTCAATGTCGTTGAACTATTTCTCGTTATTTGAGACTAGCACTCGAGGTAGTCTGAACTAGTAGATGATATTCTTCCACACAAAATTGTATATTCTGAGAAGTAATGATGGCTAGAGGCTCAAATTCTACCCACTTTGTAAAATAGTCAATCATGACCACGAGCTGCTTGCGTTGTTTGGTAGTCGGAGGGAAGGGTCCTGGTAGGTCGATCCCTCATTGCACAAATGGTCAGGGCCAATGAGGTACTGAAGGTCAGCTGCGGGTAGGTGAGGAATATTTGCATGGTATTGGCAGTGATCACACTTATTAACAAAACGAAGTGCATCGGCCTTCATGGTTGGCCAATAATATCCCTATTGAAGTGCTTTTTGGGCCAGTGACCTGCCCCCTGGTGTGCACTGCACACCCCTGCATGGATGTCTTAGAGTACATGCTCGGTTTCAAAAGGCTTGAGGCACTTGAGGTAGGGCAATGTGAATGGCTTTTTGTATAGTTGGTCCCTCATAATAACGTACCGAGCTGATTTCCTTAATACTCTTTTGGCTTCCAACTAATCTTATGGTATGACACCTGTTTGCAAATAGTTCAGTATCAGGTCCATCTAGATTAGTTAGGGTGCTAACACGGGAGAGACCTCGACACCAACGGTATCCAAGATGCTAGGTTGTTGTAAATCCTCCACATGCACAACTCTTCGAGAGTTGACGTCCACCGAGCTAACTAGTCTTGACAATGCATCAGCTTGGGCATTTTTTGACTTGGGAATTTGAAAAATAAGGAATTCTTTGAAGTGGAAACTAATCCTCGCACCATTGCTAAATACTTGGCCATACCAGGCTCCTGAGCTTCGTAGCACCTTGTCACCTGATTGATGACAAGCTAGGAGTCGCTGTACACTATGATCTTCGTTGCTCCAACCACCTTGGCCAAGTTTAACCCAACAATCAACGCTTTGTATTCCACTACATTATTTGATGCCTTGAACCCAAAGTGTAGTGCATATTCTAACTTAGCTTCTTTGAGCCCAAGCAAAATGAGACCGACTCCACTGTCCTTTTGATTAGATGACCTGTCTACATGCAAGACCCAGGTCGTCGATAGATCAAGATTGGGAACAAGTGCTAGATTGGAAGGTGCTTCTTTTAGAGTGGGTTGCTCCGGTGTGAAAGTGCATTCAGCAATGAAGTCGACCAGTGCTTGTACCTTGATCATAGGTTAGGGCTCGTATCTTATGTTGAATTCACTGAGTTCAACTGACCATTTGACCAGCCTTCTCAAGACTTTGGGTTTCGTTAGTACTTGTCGAAGCAGCTGGTTGGTGAGGATAGTTATGGTGTGCGTTTGAAAGTATGGTTGAAGTTTTCGAGCTGAGATGATTAAGGAATAGGCCAACTTTTCAATATTTGGGTATCTGGTCTCAGCATCTCATCTCACAAAGTATATGGGACGCTGGACCTTATCCTCCTCTCTTACGAGCACCGAGCTTATGACTTCGTCGCCAGTGGACAGGTAAAGCAACAACACTTCTCCTTGTTCGGGGGTCGTCATCAAGGGAAGTGAGCTGAGGTATTGCTTCAATTCTTCAAAGGCATTTTGACACTCTTGTGTTCACTCAAAGTCCTTTTTTTTATGTCCTTGAAAAATGGTAGGCATAGACCTCCGAGCTTGAAATTGAACTGTCCAAGGGTTGTAACTCGGCTGCTTAACCAATAGACTTCTTTGACAGATCTCCGAGGTTGCATGTCTAATATGGCCTGGACCTTCTTGGGATTAGCTTCAATGCCACACCGAGTTACCATGAACCCTAGGAATTTCCCGAGGTGACACCGGAGACACACTTATTTGGGTTGAGTTGAAGTTGACACTCAATTAATACCCCAAATATTTCATTTAAGTCGTTTATGTGGTTACTCGTAACTCGACTTTCAGCCACCATATCATTGACTTACACTTCAACATTCTTTCCTATTAGCTCTTTGAACATTCTATTTATGTCTTTGGTAAGTAGCCCCAACATTTTTTAATCCAAAGGGCATCATTTTATAACAAAATAATCCCAATTAAGTTACAAAAGAGGTTTTTTCTTCATCATATGGGTCCATCAAAATCTGGTTGTATCTAGAGAATATCCAAAGAACGCATCCATGAAGCTAAGTAGTTCATACCCCGAAGTTGCGTCAACAAGGCAATCTATTTAAGGAAATGGGAAGCAATCTTTAAGGCAGTCTCTGTTTAAGTCAGTGTAGTCTATACAAATTTGCCACTTCTCGTTCACCGTTTTTACGAGTACAACACTACTAACCTAGTCTGGATACTTCACTTATTTGATGAAGTCAGCATCCAACATCTTCCTGACCTCTTCCTCGATCTACTGCAAGCGTTTAGGAGTGAACTTCCTACTTTTCTGCACTACATGTCTAACATTGGGGTTGATGTTAAGCCTATGAGTTATGATTGAAGGGTCGATCCCAAGCATGTCAGTCGTGGACCAAGCAAATACATTAGAATTCAAACAAAGAAACCTTACAAGCTTGTCTCGCAAATCTGGAGGGAGGAGAGAACCGATCTGGATTGTCTTTTCTAGTTCTATTGTCAAGATGTGTATTGATATAGTTTGCTCGACGGGTTGAGCTTGGTTGGCGGCCTCCTCTGTCGGTCGGTCCAAATCCATGGCTATTGGTGTTGGCTTCTTCATCTATCTCTTCGGCTTCTCCTCTTTGGCAGGTTGCTTACCCTTTAGTGCCACCATGTAACATTGTTTAGAGTTGAGCTGGTTGCCCCAGACTGTTCCCATGCTATTCTCAGTAGGGAACTATGATCTGATCTAATCCAAGATCCAATCCTATTTGGTCGAATTTGAATCACCCTTGTTCATACCTTTGGATAGGATAATATGCTGTAATAAAAAATCATATCATATTTGGATCACCCCTATTTGATTTGATATATGTTATTTATTTATTTATAAATATATTATTTATATTGTATTTTTATAAATTTGTTATATTATTTACTTTTTATAAAAAACATGTATATATATGATGAAAATAATTTAAAAGATACTTGTTTTTTTGTTTTCTCTTTATTTAAATGGGTATATTTTATTTCTATTTTAATAATTATTAATTTTTAAAGAAAACAAGTCAAATCAGATCAGATCTGAAGATCCAACTTATTGATAGGATTCAAATTCAAATCAAGGTCTATAAGATCCAACGGGATTGGATCCGACATGAACAATGTCGGACTGGATTTAGATATACCCTGATTCAAATCCAATCCAATCTGTTTGCATTCCTAAGGTCGAGACCACGGTGTGGAGGGCATGAGCAAGGGTCTTCCGAATATGATGTTGTATGGTGAGGGTGAGTCTACTACTAAAAACATTTTCATCACACTAGCCTATCTTGGCGCGACCCCTATTGTTATCAGGTTGCAGATTTTCTCAATAGGTTTGACTATGTCCCCTAAGAAACCGACTAAATGTATGTCGGTCGGGGCTAGTTTCTTCTTGTCTAGATTCATTTGTTCAAATGTTGCAACAAACATGATATCAGTTGAACTTCCTAAATAAATTAAAATTCTCTTTACCAAGTAATTGGCCACCGTCATGTAGACAACCAAGAAATCGTCATGAGGGAACTGAACATCCTGCAAGTCATCATCAGTGAAGACTATGGGCTCGTTGGTCTTTGGGTTCTTTTTAGGTCGGCTCCCTGGGTTAGTTTGCAACTCTCGGATTGAGGCTCTTCTCGTGGCCTAGCTGCATCTTGCTATCGTCAAGTTGCTTGCAATGACATTTATGATACTTGCCATCTCGACCAAGAGTTTGCCTATCATTTGTTGCTGCTTTCAACTTATCTGAGGCCCGGTTGTCTTTCAGGAATTGTTTCAAATATCCTCTCAGGACCAATTCTTCAATCTTATTCTTTAGGTTGTTACAGTCCTTTGTGTCATGACTGACTGTGCGATGGAACTTGCAATGCTTCTTCTGGTTTCTTTTGGCTGGGTTCCCCTTTAGTTGAGGTGGCCATTTTAGAAACTCCTCGATCTGGACCTACATTA